GTCACCCAAGCTGGAGTGCAGTGGCATGCTCACCGCCACTGCAGCCTCAACCTGCTGGGCTCAGGCAATCCTTCCACCTCAGTCTTCCAAGTAACTGGCGTGCACCACCATGCCCAGCTAATTTTTTTGACTTATTGTAGATGTGAGGTCTCACCAAGTTGTCCAGGCTGGTCTTGAACCCGTGGGCTCAGGCAATCCTCTCACCTCAACTTCTCAAAGTGCTGGGACTACAGGTGTGAGCCACAGCACCCTTTCTTCTTAACTGCCACATCCAATTATTAACAGTTACTCTGTTCAACACCAAGTCCTAGCCAGACAGCATGTATTGACATTTAGTAGGCATTAACAAATAATTGTTGACTAAATGGATAAACATGTAAACCACGAGACTCTCTGCTCTGGTTCCTCTGTCTGTCTCTCTCTCTCTCTCTCACACACACACACACACACACACACACACACACACACACACACACACACCCCATCACCCCCAGATTAGGACATCTTGTCTGATTAACCCTTTAGCCTAATATGGTTCTGGGAGCAAGGATCTATGTCAACTTAACCCATTTGCTATCAATGTGACAACACAGCTCAGTCACTACAAATCTGTCTCAACACAATATAGTAACCCAACATAACCCAGTCTCATTATAGCTTAGCCCACTCCACAACAAATTTATATTCTGTATCACGACAGCCTAGTTCATGGACTAGTCAGCCTCAATACTAATATTGATAATTACCACTCATCATGAGTTTACCAGCTGAGCACAGTGGCTCAAGTCTGTAATCCCAGCATTTTGGGAGGCTGAGGTGGGAGGATCTCTTGAGACCAGGAGTTTGAGAGCAGTTTTGGCAACACAGAGAGACTTGTCTCACAAAATTTAGCCAGGCGTGGTGTGCATTCCTGTAGTCCCTGCTACTAAAGAGGCTGAGGCAGATGCATCGCTGTGCCCAAGAGATCAAGGCTAAGGTAAGCCATGATCCTGCCACTGCACTCCAGCCTGGGCAACAGAGAGAATCCCTGACTCCAAAAAAAACACAAGAATTTACCATGTGACATGAACCTAAACTAAGCATTTTATTGTTATTACCTCATGTCACAGATGACGACATGAAGGCACAAATTTAAGTAAGCTGCCCAAGATTACATTGCTGACAAATAGAAAAACCTAGATTTAAATCCAAGATAACACCTCAGATAGTATCATTCTCTTTCATTCTAGGTAGAATCCAATTTGTTCAGTTCTATTCCAACCTAATCCAGCTACCTTTAGAAAAAGCATTGATTGAGGATCCAGAGGGCTCATTCCCAGAGTACAAACACAAAATGGTTTACTATGCATTATGTACAGTTTCAGTCTAACCCAGGATAGCCCAGAATGTCCCAAATTACCCCAGGATAGCCCAATCTATTCTAGTATAGTCTACAATAGTTCCACAAGTAGCTGTCCAATACAGACTAGAATATCCCAATACAGCTATTGGTGCTAACACAGACCCCATTAACTTTGTCCCTATAATGAATGCCCCAATAAAACCATGTTTGGCCCCAAGAGAAACGAGGATTCACAAGTACAACCCCGGAGAGTCCAGAAAGGCTCAAGTTTCTCCAGGATAATCTATTCTAGGGCAGCCTAGAACATCCCAAGAGAGCACTCTTTGCATTATAGACTAGGGTGTCCCACGATCACCCTGTCTGCTCTAGTATAGGTCAGAATAACCCATCTGATCCAATATAGCCCAATCTACACCGGGAGATTCCAGAATATCCCTACATAGCCTGTGCACCACAAGGCTACTCAAAACACACCAGATGGACCAATCTATCTCAGTACTGTCCATAACATTCCAAAATAAACCAGTGTGCCCCATCCCAGCACAGCCCAATCTTCTCTAATCTGGCTTAGTAGATCCCAGCCTGTCCTCTTAGTGCTTCAGTCTATCCAAGCATAACCCTATCTATCCTGGGATAGCCAATCTACCTCAACCTAGTACAATTTGCTTCACCATAGGCCAGAGAGAATACTAGTATTAGGGCCCAGAATAGATATGTGGCCCTCCATATCACCCAATCCACTATCAAACAGTCCCCTTCGGTCCTATGTAGGCCTTGAGCTCACCCGAAATCCTGATCCATAGACTTGAAAAAGTACTTAGCGCCCGCGGGCCGCTGCAGAACGCTCTTGAAATCGCCGAGGGTGATGCGCTCGGCGGGGACGGGGATCTTCACCAGGTAGGGAGTCTCTTCCTCATCCAGGTGGTAAATCACCTTCGTCTCCCCGACCCCACCGCCCCCCGAGCTGATGCCCGCCATGGTCTCGTCCGCGCGCTCCCGGGTTCCACCGCCCACCCAACTAGGCTAATCACCCCCGCGGCGCCTGCGCACACCAGCAAACCGACGCGCGAGCGCGGACAAGACCGACCCAGTACGGGTGAGGTGCAAAGGGAAGAAAGCTGGGGTCACCGCGGTGGCAACAGGGGGCGGGCTGTGGGGTGCTACCCAAAGCCGAAAACTCGGCCGCAGCAGCGCGCCACCGCCGCCGACGTCGCGAACGCCCTCCAGGTCCCCGCCCACCTCGCCCCATGTCACGTGGCCTAAGCCCGCCCACCCGCGCTCCCTTACCGCCCTTCGTCACGTGACCTCCAATCACGTGACCGTCCGGCTCCTCCTAGCGCCCCCGCCACATGATCGCTGCCTTCGGCAACGGTCTTCCAGCCCTGAACGACCCCGCCCCCAAACCTGTCCCCTAGCCGAGGTATTCAGAGTACCCAGGTTAAACCGGCTACTGCCCTCAGGGAGCAGATAAATGGCTCCCACCCGACCTTACCCCACCCAAGCGGAGAACGCCGAAGCAACTCGACCTGGGGGAGGGTGGAGATTGTGGGATGTCCTAGACTGGAGCGGGGAGGGGCAAATCCAATGGAGGTCCTAGAATTGGTTACTCTAGAGTATCTTGGGGTGAGAAAAGCCCAGAGCCCTGTCATTTTCTGATTGAATTTTGAGAGGGGGTTTCGACCGGACCTTCAGCCAGCTTTTCCAGAACATCCCTCCCAAGTAAGGCAGTCAGTGAGGGCTATAAACACAAAAGAGCCCACTCTAATTTATTTACATCACGCAGGCTGTCCGTACAAACAGCTGGCCAATATTATTAAAAACAAAAGAGGTGAGTAAGAGCCATCACCTTTCTGCTTTCCTTCCTCGCTTGGCCAGGCCCTAGTACTCCACCTTTGAGCTGCCATGCCCAAAAGGGGAAGTCCCAAATTAAAAATACAACCGGTGTAGAAGAAAATAAATGGGGAGTGAAATCGAAGAAAAAGATGAGGGAGGGAGTGCTATATTTACACTAGAGTTTTATAGACAACTGTCCCATTCCATCCCAATTCCAACCCTGGCCCAGAAAGATGGGTGGCAGGTCCAAGAGACAGAGATTATGTGCCTAGAGACCCAGACAGCCTCCCACTTCCAACTATAATGGGTCCAATTTCAAACCCAGAGTGAGGAGGAAATGAGTAGGAATGTGTGACACTCATTTCAAACAAGTCTCCCTTGGTAATTCCTGCCTTGAAGTAGGGACAGTATCCAAGCTCCAGGGGATAGGCTGAGGACCCAAAGACTCAGTTCCTCAGTCATGTCGTCATTTGGAAGTTCCAGCCTGGTTGGCTTTGTCAGGGCTCTCCAGATTTGGGAGGCCCCCCTAACCGCCGGGCCTCTGGCCGCAGTTCCTTGCATTTCTGGCAATAAAAGAAGTCAGGAACATTGGTCTTCTTAATCTTAGCACAGGAAAGGTGGATCCACGTTCCACACAGGCTGCACTCAATCATGGGCCGCCCAGCAAAGGGCTTTCGGCAGTAACACGTGATCAGATCCCATGAGTCATCACCTGGGGAAAAGGTTTGTTTGGTGATCTACTTGAACGCTTAGCTCCACAACACTCCCCCAAACCCATCCTCCCAGCTGCCCCTGGGACAGCCCCAAACTTCTCACCTGATTCTACCATTATGTCCTCATCCATGACCCGCATCTCGCCTTCACTGGAACTGGCATCTCCATCTTGGCTTGTTTCAGTGCTGCCCACCTCCTTGCTTTCACTGTCAGTGGGAGGGGCTACTTCTGGGTGCACTGTGGCATGGGGCCTAAGAGCCTCAGGGGGTGTTGGGAGCACAGGGGCTGGGGCTTCACCCCCTACCACTGCTGCCATCTCTTCCTCCTCCTCCTCCTCCTCTTCCTCCTCCTCCTCTTCAGAGTCTGTATCACTGGGGGGTGCCCGGGGAGGCCCAGGAGGTGGGAGTCTATCCCCTCGCTCTGCCCTTTTCAACTTCCGCTTCTTGCTCTTCTTAATTCGAGACCTCTTTTCCCCATCCCCAGGAGCTGGCCGAGGCCTCCGAAGCACCCCAAAGCCAGCCCCTGCTCCTGGCCCCAACTTGCGGTTCTTTCGGTCCTTCTTTCGAGGCGGCTGGGAGAGATCCCCCTGAGAAAGGGACACTGGGGCGAGAGCAGCAGGGGGACGGGAGGTATGTGTCAGGGATGTGGGGGACAGTGGAGATGCCATTTTGGGCCCATCCAGATCAAAGAGAGAGTCCTTGAGCTTCATCTTCTCAAGCAGTGTAGCACTGTCAGGGGCCTGCAGACGAGAGAAAGTGGACCTTGGGGGTCCTGGCTGAGTGGGACCTGCTTGGGCCGCCCTTCTCTTGGATGACTTAGCTTTCTTAACAAAGGTCTGGATGGTTCGAAGATCTGAGGGGGCTGAATCCCAGCCATCACTATCTGCCGCACTCTCGCCTCGCAATGGAGAGCTGGAGCCAGAAGCTGGCCAATCACTTTCCTTAAAAGGGGGGAGAGACCAGGGTCATCTCAGTCTCTCCACAAACCCAGCTTGAAAGCCAGGGGCTAGTTCTACCCTAAAATATCCTACCCCAATCACCAAATCTCTACTCCAAAAGCTTATACCCACCTCAACTCTCATCAGCATCTCTTCTTTACCACTTCCATATTACCCCTACCCTCAAGCTTTAGCCTCTCCCCACTGCCTCTGCCCAGGGCCTTTGGAACACTATCCCCCACACCAGAACCATATTTTCTTAGTTCTATTTTTGTGCAGCATCGTTTGTTACCATTTTCAGCTCCCTAAAAAGTCTATCCAGAAACATCTATCAACAGCACTCTAAAACCATGCCAAAATCTTGACCAATGCCTCCAAACCCCCTCTATCACTGCTGCTCAAGCTAATTATGCTATTCCTGTCCCATGCCATTTTTCCTTACTACAGCCCTAGGAGTTTCCAACTTCCCTACTCTTACCTGTAACTTCTAGTGGGCTCCTCCTATAAAGGAATACAGTCCCATTTGCACAACAGCCCCTCTACAATCCTAGGACACACCAGCCTCAAGTCAGGGGGTTCTCCTGTCCTTACTTACCTCTTTGCTCGCGGGGATGTAACCAGCATAAGCCAAGACAAAGCTGCAGAATTTGTTGAAATCCTCAATTGTTCTCCGTCGTTTCTCTGGTGGCTGAAAAAATGGAAACATTGATCTTATGGAAACCAGATAACGAGTTTAGAAGGGCGTTCCCAAACGCACAGTGCCTAAGTGAGGAATCTCGAAATGGGGCAGGAAGGCATTGTCAGGTAGTGATACTGGGCTGCAAGGGTAAAGAAAACCTCACCTGAGTCTCTGGCTTAAGGGTCGGAGGTGGATCTGTAAAAGCAATAAAAGCTGAGTCAAGACACTAGAAAAGAGTCTTTGTAAAAAAACCTTACCTCTAAGCCATGTTGGTCCCAAGTGAACCCCCTCCTCTCTCGGGTCCCAGTGCCAGACCAGCAGGCCCCCAGCTGTGCTGGATCCGCCCCTGCTCCCCCTTCCGCCTCGCGAGGGGCGGAGCCTGGGCGCGGCGCCCTCTCAGGCCTCGCTATAGCGCTCCCCTTCCCCCAACCGGAGGCCCGGCGCCCCGCCCCCCCAACTCACGGTTTCTCTAGACTCCAGTCTATTCGGATCTCTCAACGCCCCCCCCCGCCATACCGCTCACGGGGCCCAGCCAGGGCCACCGCCCGCTCACCCCCACCCGCGTCCTTCACACGCGCCGAGCCCCGAGTTCCTACCCCGCCGCGC